TTTGATGCTGAAATTCAAAGCAAAACACGAGGCGCGGGAACAAGAGAAATCGAAGCCTACATTAAAAAATAATTTAGAAGAAAACACTCATATTAATCCTGAAAAACAAAATCAAGATTTAGATCTCTCTGTATTCAGTAAGAAGTATTATCTGCCCCTGACAGAAAATAAGCTTGGCAAAAAGTCTCATTTCAGTTTCTGATTTATGAATGAACAACCTATAAAGAAGCAATTTAAGTGAAAAACCTACTGGAGTAACAAAAAAAAGTAAGTATTTCACTTTTCAATATTGTTTGAGTACCGTCAGCCAGGAATCTTGAAAAGAATAGATCTTAGACTGAATTACACACAATCTCTACTATATGTAAMAAGCAAAAGTTTAGATCTGCATCTGCTCAGTCAGAAATGATAGGCAACTTCAATTCCCCAATTCCTTTGTGCTGGCCACCACAGGGAGCCCAAGGAATAAGTAATTCCCAAGTGCCACAGAGATACAACAGCAAGCTGAATTCAGACACAGCCAAACAGCAGCACAGACTCTTTGGAAAAATGGCCCATTTGCACCTGCCCCTCACAACTAAAAATGCACTCACTGGAACCAATCACCTGAGGGTGAGTAAAAATCTCTAGAGCTGCCAACTTAGTCTTGGGGAAGCATCCATGAAAGAATAAGCAAATCATCCTGCAAGGCAAATGCAACTAAAATGATATCATGGAAGGGCATAGAATACATCTTGGGCTGTATTTATAATTTTTGATTTGTAACTTTTTCCTGTGCAATAGTAGCATAGTGTGTAGAAGGGTGGTGCAATCTAACCTTGATATCTAATTCAGGATAGAAATCAGCTGAACAGAGCTGGGAAAAAGTGACAGTGGGTTTCACTTTCCAAAGGCAGGCTTAGCATGAGCCTAAATTCTACCTGACTAAACCTGCAGGAGTTCAGCATCAACTGGGTTGATGGATCTCATTCTGAACTGTTACAGGTGGGAAGTAGGGGCTGGTCTAATCAAAGGTCCGACCTCTTTTCTGTGATCAAATCCTGAACCATGCCTTTGCATCCCACAATACACTCCAGAGAGTGGYAGGAAATTAGAGGTACCTTCAGAAGGCATCTGTAAATGTGGCCTGTTTCCAGGAACCCAYTTGCCACCTCATTCTTTGAGTTCATGGACAGATTGTACAGAGCTTTCCCTTCCTAAAAACAGCCAACCCAAAGGTTCTCTGATATAACTGCTTTCCTTATTTTGGTAAATGTTCCTGTTGTTCCCTGGGGAGACTGCAGATGTGGCAGTGAAGACAGAACTGGAATACAATCCCTTTTCCACATGGAGTGGCACTGATGAAGGTTCTTTCTTCTCTATATGGACTTGACAAGATCCCTGCTTCAGGCGCATTCTGCTGTACCCTTCTCACAGTKCTGCTCCTGCTGCCTCCTTGCTGGTATGATAACAGGGCAAAGGCGAGTTTCAGGATTCTTTTGCATACTCCCTCCTTTCTAAAAGCCATTGTGTCAGGCATTTGCAAAAATAATAGAAATAAACAGAAGTAAGCTGTGGCTGGGGTTTTCCTATTTGTGGTTTCACAAAGAGAGAAGAAAACGGACACTCTCCAGTCACAGGGGATTTATTCTTTCATTCTTTTTTTTACTATGAACTCCTGATTTCTTTCTCATGCCAGTTGGCATTGCTCTTTCATTGCTGCGGTCTGGAGTCCTACACAGAGCCTCAGTGTAAGAGAARAAAAGAGGAGAAAATGCCTAGCTGGACTGGAGCTCACACAAAGGGGAAAATCACCATTTGGTCTGTGTGGGCAGCAGGTGCTATWTAAACCCTCTCTCCAAACACTGGCTGGGCAGAGGGCTTGGGAGTGGACCACAAAAGCAGCCATGGTCTGGGAGGGGAAAGGGTCTGGCTGGGACCAGGACGAAGAAGAGTTTCAAAGTGGTGTCTGGACTTTACTAGTAAAGAAAATACTTCACATCTTGAGGGGCMAACCTGGTCCTGAGGGGGCTGGATCCACCCAGACTTGGCTGCTCTGCTGGACTTCCCCGTTCTGCTTTCTCTSCAGTGAATGTCAAACACCTCAGCAGGACTGAGGGAAGCAGGTTACTGTAGTACAGGGGAAGAGCTTCTACACAGGCTAGTCCTACAAAACCCTAGCAAGTCCATCCCCTCTCCCACACCCTGGTCTTTGTGTAAACTTCCAGTGTCTTTGAGGGACAATGCATTAATTTAGTCAGGACTGGACTGGGAGAAACACAYCACCTGCAAAGAGTTCCAGGAGTGCCCAAGCCACCTGCCATCTATTGTACTTGCCCCAGGGCAGTGGCTGTGGTACAACAAACACATTGCTCTGATGCATCATGGTGTAAGATCTGCACCAAACTGAGGGAGGAGCAGACCATAGCAAAGGTTTCAAGTTTGCAAAGGAGAGCTTGGTGTTAGAGGTGGAATCAGCCGCTTCAAAGAGAGTTGTTCATATAAGGGAACTTAATTTGTAAACATCTCATATGACAGGCCTTTTCTGTTAATATTCAGTGTGGAGACTGACTTTGGGCACTACATCTGTGTTACCTTTTCCACAATRATGGGGGAAACTGTGAAGCTGCTCTGGCTGGTAGGTGTGAGAGCAGCTCTTCTGACGYTGGAAGGCTGCACACAGCTCTGTGGTGTTTGGCAAGAGTCAGCATGTGCTTGCTTACTGCTTTTCAAAAACAGCCAAGATTCTCTCTGTGTTGCAGTACAATTACTGTGCCAAACCATAGCATTTTAGGATGTCTGTTATTCAGATGGAGCATGCTTGTTTGCAATAAAATAAGCTGCTTTAAAGTAATTTTGGCATGATTTAAGTGTTCGGAACAGACACCATAAAAGACCTAATAAATAAAGAATGTTATCAGAAGGGTTAAAAAATTCAAGTTGTTTTTCATATGGACAGGCAGGTCTATACAAGCACCTTCCACATACAGAGGACATATAAATCCCCACAACTTTTAATGGATGAGAACTAATTGGATAGAGATACAGCAATGTGTGCTAGTGGACAGTCTGATGATGTGCTATCAATACACCACYCATTACTGTATCTTCTCCTGGGAAGCTCAAAGCATTGTGCCCTGGGTACAGCTGGTGCCTGAACTGTCATCTGGCCTGGCTAATCACCACCCATTAAACCCACATTTTATTCACAAGTCACACATTTTCCAGATCAAACTCTATGTCTTAATCATGAAAGAGACTGAGCTCAGAAATATATCTGTGCACAGTGCTGCAAGTGAGGACAAGGCAGAACTGAACTGCATAGATCTCCTAAGCCTCTGAGGTACTTAACAGACAGATATGTTTGGATATATATTTAGCAGATGGAGTGAAAAATACATGCCTCTTGTCGAGGAATCCTGCTGAAAGTATCAGCAGTGGTGCTGCAGCTGCCAAGGAGCCTCAGAAGAAATTCTCAGGATAAAGTGATATAGGATRACAATATTTCTGTAAGCACATGCACCAGCCCATGGAATTTAGTAGGGAAATTACAAATGTCATGGGATTGATAATTAACAAAAAAAAAACAGTTACAGCAATGAGTAAAGTATCAGTGGTAGATGCACAGGGCTGCAGAATAATTGATTGAGATTGCTGTAAATTTCATCCCTAAACAAGTCTACAGACCAGTGTCACCACAGGAGCACGGAAATGATGGGTCTCAGGAGAACTTAAAAGGTGACCTACAGCAACTCCCTCTGCAAAAGCAGGGCACATCTTCATTTGCTCTTCTGGACACATCTCTATGGAAGCAAAAGTGAATTTTGCACTTTGTATTTCTGCCAGAGTCAAGCAGAGATCACCTTAATGTTTCACATGAAGCAAGGTCAGTGCTGCACTGGCCAGGTCTGATGTGGTTACAAGAATGGCTTTGAGGGTGAATTCAGCAGCGGATGTAGCCATCATGCGCATCTGCAAAGAGCTGTGCTAAAACACAGCCCCATCGTCTGCCTGTGTGAAATGGAGCATCCATGAGGGAAGCAGCAGAAAGACCACAGCTGTACCAGTGTGCTTTTCACCTAAATCCACTAKTGAAAAATTCCCAACCCTGACACTCGGCCTTAACTCCTCTTTTTCACAAGATCAACAGACTGACATCCAGAATAGGGTTGTAATTTCCCTCAGTTGTAAATCAAAAGAAATAAGATCATGTATTTGTCATCAAACATTAATGCATTTTCATAATAGCCTGATAGAGTGAGCACTATATTCYTGATATGCCCGTGCAGGGGGCAGTCAGCAGCAGAAGGATACAGGTCAAGCAGAGTTAGATTTTCCCTGGATTTTTTAATCTCTTTGGTTGATGCAATATGTGGACACAAAATTCTTATTAAGATACAGTCTGAGCAACACTTTTTAATCACATMATGTTTATATTGTCATGCATTGCTAAACTATTACATAGCACCACTTCATCTGTAGAAGTCCAGTGCCTAGATTCCTAGGAACTACTTAGCACTGACAAAATGTGTCTACCTCTGCTTTACTGTAGACAGTAAACTGTTACAATTAGCTTTTAGAAAATGATGCAGAAAAATTTCTCTGAATCTTGTCTATTCCACCTCCCCATTGTTTTTGCTGTTCTTAGTGTAACTTGATCTTGTGGTGCGTCTTTAAACTGCCAAATCTAATGTCTCTGAGCAGGCAAAGGACAGACTGTATCCACTGCCCTTTAATGGTAAAGAGAAGCTGCCCACACTGCAGCCCCCTCTGCACATCTCACCTCATGCTGGTGATGATAGCTGGAATCTTTACCTGGCAAGTGTCTCATCTTTTCCATCCAAAACAGCTACAGAGTTTATTGCTTTTCTTTAAGGGGGAAAAAAAAAAAAAAAAAGAAACTCCTCTAAAAGGAAAGAGGAAGCCAGAAACTTGGTAGTGTCTTGGTTCTGCCCCATGATGCTTCTTCCTGCCTGTGAATTTCCACCTGCCTCTTCTGCATATATAAGGCAGCACACGTGGTACACTCTGTTTAGTCGCCTGCCTCCGTCCAAAGGATTAGTAGCAGTGGGGAGTGATGCTGTTTCTCCTTTCCTCTGCAGCTCAAGGGAGGTGAAGGAGCTCTGGCTGGACTCACTCCTTGGGTAAGTACTGCCTTTGATAAAATCTGTGGCGTCGTGGTTGAAGTCAGTGGAGAGCTTCAGATCCAGCTGCACRGAGAAGTACAAAAATATAGCAGGGGGAGAGGTGCACCCACTGCTAAGCACAGCTCATGGGCAGAGCTGACTGTTGCTCAGCCTTATGACCATATGTAGCTGTTACCACTTGCTCACTTTTTGCGTGGATTAAAAATGGAAAGCTGCTTTTATTTTGTTTTAATCAGGAGGCAGAGAGGGCAGCAGGGCTTCCAGAGAAGGGCTTTATGGTTTATTTTTGTGGGAGATCTTGCTGGTTCAGGAACATACACACCAGATTAACTTGCAGAGGACAAAGACAAGAAGGGTGAAGTTTTACAAGACTCTTTCTCTGTCTACTCCCTGTTCAATAAACAGGCAAGCAAAAGGACTGAAGGAAACCAGAGTGTCCAGAGCGCCTCCAAYCAAACTCCTAATGAAAGTTTTAAGCAGCTGTAATACTGTGAGTATCTTAATAATTGCAGCTCTGTCAACACAATGATTTTGAAAAGTTCTGATTTCTAAACCTTACCGTTCAGTTACTCACACAGTGTCTTTGTATCTTTGCCCTAGTCAAAGACGCTAAATGCTGGGAACATGGAGAGTCTGATTGAGTGCCAGACAGAGGTAAGCAGCTCTTATATTTTCCTGGATCCTTCTTGGGTACTGGTGTGAGATTCTTAGGAAAGTGGGGGCGGCTCCTCCAGTAGCTGCYGGCTGCCTACCCTTACCCAGGAATGGGCAGAGCTCTTCAAAGACAGCTCTATGCCGCACTGAGCAGAGGGAGCTGGRCATTGCTGTGAGCAGTCCGTGTGTTCCCCTAGCTCCCGAGGAGATTTGCTCAGGAATCCTGCARGCTTTAAAGCCGTCCAGGCTCCCAAGAGGAGTTGGGGAGGAAATTTCCAGTGCCGGGGAGGATGGAAAAAAGAAGGCTGTGTTCAGCTGTGGCTTCTCTGGATCAGTAGAGCACAGGGTTGTGACCTGCCAGGCATGACTGGGGTGTCTGGATGCAGGATTTATCCCAGACCCCTCTAGTGGGTAGCAGAGTCTGTCCTGGGCAGAGACGCCTCTTCAGCAGGTTATTCCCCAGAGCCTCCCACAGATTTCTAAGGTGCTGCAGCAGCTTGCTGGTGACCTTCACTACTGTGGGACCTCTGTAACCCTAAAATGCTTTTTGCAGGCTGATTCCAAGAAATGTCCCCCKTCAGTCCCAGCAGATAATGAAGACAAACTTTGCCTCTCAAACGGTGAGTTTCAAAAACAAACTGAGGAGCTGCCTCCTTATGTAATGCCTGCAAGCTAGCACATGTGCAAAACCACCCGAAACYGCCTGCTTCCCCTCCTGAGAGCAAGCTACAGTCCCCATCCAGGAGAGGGCTTGAGCCCTGGACTGCCACTCACTTGCAAATTACTTCTTTTCCGTATGGTCAGTGGCAGAGGTGGCAGTACCGAGTGCCAGAGGTCTCGAATTCCCATTTCCTGGTCCTCAGGGCCATGTTCTGTTGTGTTCCTGGTAGCAATGGGAAGTAAATGTGTTTCTTTCTCACTCGAGCATCCCCACTGAGGTGTGGCACTGCGAGCAAGTTTGGAGTACTGCTACCAGCTGTTGCACGCCAGAGCAAACAAACCCTCTTGGCAGCAGCAACAGCACTTGTTTTTTCTTACCCTGCAAAACTTCAGCACCTGTAAACAACCCAGAGGAGACCATTAACAGGGCAGGGTCAGACTTGGAGCAAACCATCACAACAGACCAGTTTTCAGGAGTATCAGAAGCAAATGTCTTATAATACACTAGAATGCTATATGACTTTCTCAAATTTTTAACCTCTGACTACCAACAGCTTGTGCTAAGTCACAAAGAGAGGTCCTGAGAACATTTTATCTGTGTAAGACAACTTCATTTTGGAGTAGAAGGCATGACACTTATTGCAGAAAGTGTCATTTGAATGTCATTTGAAGTGTCATTCAAATTTGCAGAAGACAAATCCTTTAGAAAGCTTTCTAGCAAAAGGATCCTTCTCTCACTGCTTCTGAAAGCGAAAAAAGACACACCCTAATAAAACTATCATCACAAGGCTGTGAAAGAGGACAAAAAGTAGGAGCCCCTAGTTCCACTCTTGCCCTAAGTCTGGGTCACAGTCAGACYACACAGTGAAAATTGTCATTGCCAGCTGCCCAAGTGGTATATCTGCCTCAGAGTTATCACAGAAACTACTGCAATGTCAAAAATCTCTCTATATTATTTCTGTGCCTTGTATGTTCCCACTCTCTAAGAAGAAACAGTGACTAGAACGTAAAGAGCATCTAACCGAAAACAGGAAAGGTGGTGGCCTTAGGGGGGTGGCCGCAGTTTTACAGTTTAGGCAGTGGTTTCCCTAGTAACGACTTAGTTGTCTTCTCCGTTTGTCCCCATTTGGTTTGAGATGTTTCAACATTCACCTCTGCACTGCACACAGATGAAAGACCACATTTGKTTTTTTTAAATTTTAAATTGATATTTTTGTTTTCCTTTTACTTGCAGCAGATGGAACAAAGAAAAGAAAGAAGGTGATATCGCAGTCATTTACTCTGAGACGAAGCCTTACCAAAAGAAATTCCTCAGGGCAACTAGACTTGGGTGCCAAAATCACTTTGTTTGGCCAGCCTCTGTCACTTATCTGTGGGGAAGATGACACACTGCCCCAGCCAGTCCAGGTAAGAAAGCCTGAAGGTACCATTATAAAGGAATTGYTTACAAGRGCCTGGAGTGTCAGGACAAGGGGGAAATAGATTCAGACTGAGAGAGCAGGGTTAGATTGGACATTGGGAAGAAATTCTTGGCTGTGAGGGTGGTGAGGCACTGGCACAGCTGTAGCTGCTGCATACCTGGAAGTGTTCCAGGCCAGGTTGGATGGKTCTTGGAGCAACCTGGTTTAATGGAAGGTGTYGCTGCCCATGGCAGAGGGTTGGAATGAGATGATCTTTAAGGTCCCTTTGAGCCCAAACCATTCTGTGATTCTGTGATACCTCTGACTTCAGTGTGAGGCAGGATTCCCAGTACTTCTGCTGTGTCACCAGGAGATGAGTGATTTTGGTGTTTCCCCTCCACCCACACTCCTGATAAGTTTCCTTCTGGCAGTAAGCAAGGATGACTCCACTGAAGTTAGTGAATTCACCAGTTCAAAAGGAGGATAGACTAGGGGAAAATCAGACTAYATCTCATGTAATCTACTTGGAGCAAAAACTAGATACTGAACTAATCAGAGCACCATGTACCTCCAGACAATTTGTATTCTGTTTCTGAAGAAATGCTCACCTGCTAAAGGACTTTCCTTCATCCAAATAACTGTTCTTCCATTCCTGTCTGATTTTTTCCCCTGCAGGATCTGCTAGCCATATTGTATATGAAAGGACCTTCTACTGAAGGGATATTCAGAAAAGCTGCCAATGAGAAAGCACGAAAGGAGTTGAAGGAGGACCTAAACAAAGGCGGCAACGTTGATTTGAAAAGCAAGTCTGTGCACCTGCTGGCAGTGGTTTTGAAGGTGAGACATTCTGAGCTACACTGGTGGAAGGACATTGATAATACATACAGACCCAATCCAGTTCTCTGAGCRGATCTAGGTGGGGCTCTCAGCTACAGTCAGAACAATGCCAGACTAAAGGCTTCAGGCTTAGGAAAGTTWGGCCTTTTCCACCTGATTTTCAGTCCCACTTGTTGGGCTGCTAATTTCCTGCATGCTCACAGGAAACTCACTTTGTTCTCTTGCTCAGTATCCTCTCAGAGAGCAATAGTGAGATTTATGGCTGAAGGAAAAGGTGAAATCGGGGTCCTGTTACTACACAAGTGCACTTGTGCATTGCTCTGCTCTGTCAGTATYGATGGTCAGGCAGCTCAAGTCAACCTACCTCCTAGAGAGCTCATGTGACAATAATGCTCCCTCTGAGCTCAGGGATGGTCTCAAAGCTTCATCTAAATCTCTTGGCCTTGCAGGACTTTCTCCGAAATATTCCCTCCAAACTCCTGTCAGTTGACTTCTATGAGAAATGGATGCAAGCTCTAGAGAAGCCAAGCAAGCAAGAAAAAATTGAAGAATTGAAAGAGTAAGTTTTTCAGCCTGGAAATTTTGCAACCAACCCCAGAGTAATGGAGTGTCTAGTGGAGGTCAACAGTGTTTTTCGAAATCACAAGTCTCATTCAAAAGTCTGTCATTTATATCAGCTTCCTATTGCTCCATGGGGTTGGGTTTAGAGGGCTCCAGCAGCAGCACTTCTTGAAATTACTAGAGACTGATCTATGAAATCACCAATGCAGGAAGGGGGCAGGCGCTGCAGTGTCTCAGCTGACACAGTTACAGTGCWGTGGGACTGGCACTGACACACAGCCTTCACATCTGCTGGAGTGGTCGGGCACATGGAGACCATGGCTGTGTTTTGCACTTTGGGAAGAGTAGGTGTGGAGGTTGACTGGGAGTGCTCTGAGAGCCCCACAGCACAACCACAGGCACTGGGAAGGCTCCAGTGACATCTCCTGATGTCATCCCAGTTACTCCAGGACACGGGCTCACGTAATGCTGCCTTTAAGTTGAGACCATGTCATTCAAGGTCTCGTAATGAATCACACACTCAGGTGCAGCTGGGGATTGCTGAAAGATGCAATGAGCACACACATGGCCCTTGRTGCAGAAAGGGCTGATTCTCTGAGACTTGCTCAAATAAAGGAGGAGAGGCCACTGCACCATCAATTAACATCACATTTTGTTGTGTTTATGCAGGGTGGCTGACAAGCTGCCGAGACCAAACCTCGTCCTGCTCAAGCACTTGCTCTCATTGCTGCACCACATCAGCCAAAATGCTGAGACCAGCAGGATGGACTCCAGCAACCTGGCCATCTGCATTGGCCCAAATCTGCTGAGCCCAGGGACGGACAACGTTCTCCCGCTGGAAGTGCAGAAGGAGATGAATGAGAAGGTGAGTTGAACTCACCAAGCAACTGCTCCCTCTGGAGCAATTTGGAGCCATCCATAGGGATCCCACTGCCATCACAAAAACTGCACAGAACAGCAGCCCTGGACACWGGGGGTAACCCCTAAGCTCAGGTGTCCCTCAGCCTGTGACGGGRTGGGCTRGGCTGCCCCTCGTCTACCTCCTCCRAGCAAAAGCTGCAGCTTCCCCACAGCCCCTCAGTCACAGCACAGCTCCTGCAGACTTTGCTGCAGRGGGCAAGGGGCACCCGTGGGCATTGTCAGCCATGGGCCCTCAGGCAGTGAGGCCAAAGCTGGGGCTGGTGGTGTTTTGTCTGTATTGGGACAGATCCCATTTGTCTGCAGCATTAGGCCTCCTCCCCCATGATGGACTCACCCTTGGACTTTAAGGCAGGATTTTTGCAGAAGCCACCCTGCTCTGTGCTGTCCTTCCTACAAAGACACCAGCCAGGGGCAGCAAAGTCTTCAATMGTGTCTTCATCCCTCTTACTGAAATGGGCTCTTTTCTGTGTGCAGGTGACGGTGTTGGTGGAGTTCCTCATAAACAACTGCTTGGAAATATTTGAGGAGGACACTGCCTTCCCTGCTTGTGCCTTGGCTGAGGAGTCACCAGAGCACACAGACAGCTCCACAGGTATGAGAACAGACTGGGATGCCAATGACTGGGGCTGCTGGCCCAAATTATTGAATTTTATGTGTGAATGTATCTGTGGAAACACAGAGGGTTCAAGACTGTTGAAGTGTTCTTCTGCAGGAACTCTCCATATTGTTCTCTTTCATCCTCAGCTGGTCATCGATAACTAATGTCTCTTTTCTCCCCACAGAACAACTCTGTGCAGCTCATCAGAATGACTCTGCCTATGACAGCCCAGATGCYGAGGCAGAAGGCAGCCCCTACAATTCTGTGATGGAGCAGGCCAAAGGGAAGAGTGCTACTGTGAGCAGAGGATATCTAACACACATCCCTTCCCATTCACTGACTAATTTCAGAAATGACATCAGCATAATGGACAGAAGATACTCGGAGTCAGACCTGTCCTTCCAGAAACACCTTGATGACACTATAAGGAAACAGAAAYTAAACAAAAGTGAGGACAATTTTCCAGTTCAGCAGAAACAGCTGTGGTGGGAGGCACTGGAGAAACGTCTTGCAGCCTTACCTTCACAATTATCAACTGACTCTCTGCCAAAAACATCCTCCAACTGCTCCCTGGAGAGCTCAGATGGCTCGGTTTTCACCAGCTCCCCAGTAGTTTCGCCCTCTAGTCCCAGAAAAACCTTTTTAAATAGGCCTCACTCCTTTTCCACCAAGGCCACTGAAGACTGCAGCATACCTAGCAGAGAGATCAAAAAACATTCCATGTCATTCTCTTTTGCAAACKGCAGGAAAACACTGATAAAACCCCAGAGTTGGGGGCCTGGAAAACCCATGTTTTTTCAGAGGGACAGTTTCACAAAGAAAGAAGATCTGTTCTCCTGCAGAATTGTCCAGGAAGACCATCATAATGATGACAAACCATCACATGTGGAGTATCAGCAAAGGCTCCGTTTCAGATCAGTTGATGAAGTGTTCAGGGAGGTAGATCAGAGGAAACCTGGAAGACCACCCTCCTATGAAGAGGCTGTCAAAAACTGTCTGGCCACTAAAGTTTCCTTCCATGATCTCACAGTTCAAACTATGAGATTAGCGGTGTCAAACCAGGATGCTTTGCTGCCTCGTCCGAGCAGCCACAGTGCACAAGACACAGCACATATGGATCTACCCAGCRCCAGAGTTTCTGCAACAAAGGGTTCTGACATGGAAACTAGAACCTTCAGTGTCACTGTGGGAGTAAACTCCAGTGTGAGTTTACCCGTGACCCCAGGAGTCTTCCGGATGAGAGCCATGTCTGAGTCCTGTCAAAAGAACAARCTCAAGTATGTGGCTCAGAGGTGCAGCCAGCCAGCTTTTGAGGTAGAGCAGATCCARTATGCTAAGGAGTCCTATGTTTGAAAAGTCTATCCTTTCTCTTTGCACTGTACAGAGCAAATATTGTAAAAACAGAYATCTTGCTAGTCATTTGTTAGTCARACTTTSAAGAGACRAAGAATAAGCTAGCTCTGCATGAACTTTTTATCTGAAGTGTCTGTCAGCTTGACACATCACAACCTTTCACCACAACAGTTGTTGCTGGTGAAGACCTGTGTATTATTATGTAAAAATGTGAGTATGCTGTACATAACCTGCTTTGTGGGAAGAGTAGTTAGTGGATGATAAACAGTGTTGTATTTGTATTCCTGAAATGACAATTAAAAGGTTGACAGGTCCAAAACCTTCTGGCAGGTCTCAACTTCTTTTTGTTTTCTGTATGGTCACAGACCCTGTCCATTTGTCATGTGTGTGAGCCAGGCTGATGCAGTGCTTTGCTRATTTTCTGCATTGAAAAGTAGGCTGGCAGTTACCCTTTGGGGGAAGAGCTGTTCTGTCATCTAGCCCACTTCAGCTCTCTTCCATAAACACCCTGTACCTGCTGCCATTCCATCTTCCTGTTTGCTGATGATGAGAATGATCGGACCACTAATTGGCATTTGTGTTGTACACTGAGCCTTGGGTTAGGTTTGCTTATAAGAGGAGAACAACAAAACAAACAAGAAAAACTCCTGCAATTAAACATTCTGAATTGCAGCTCTAAATAGTTAAAGCTCATTTAAAAAAAAAAAGACAAAAAAAATACTAGGTGGTAGGTTTATAACCTTGTAAAAAATGACTGGAAGTGCAATGTGTTTTTATGGCTCAGCATAGCCTTAAACCAGGAGCAGTGAGACTTTTTTCTCCTGTGTAACTTCACTACAATAAAACATTTTCTGCACGAGTACTTAACTGTCCATTGTTTGTTTTTAAAACATCCAGGCCCTATACATACTGTATCTACTTTTATACAATTCTACAGGTACTGCARGCCTGCTTGAATGGTATGGCATAGCTGAGTAGCATGAAGCTGTGTAAATGAGTAAAAAATTAAATGACCAGCAATAMCTCTGCTATTGTTGTAAGAAGCTGCAGGCTACAAATCCCTGTCTGTCAGGAAAACAACATACACTGCCATGTAATAGCAGTTAAGCTGCAAAGAGGTGATGCAACTCCAAAAGTGAAAGACATTAAAAATGACACACCATCTTCTCAAGAATGATGTTTTCCAGGTGTAGGTGTTCCCAGGACACAGACAAAAGGGAAGGAGGGTGCCCAACCTGACAGGAGAAATGAGATGTGAAGGACCATGTTGGTAGGCCACAACTAGAGAAAATGTCACTTCTCTCAGCCTCACAAACAGTGGCACTCTGCTTCCAAGCAAGCTGAATCAGAGGGCTCTGATGCAAAAGGTGTTTACCTTTTTCTAGAATCTGCATCTCCTGGGCCACAGAATCAGTAAGGCTTGAGGTCCTCCTGTCCAGCCCTATTACCCAAGCAGGGTCAGATAAAACAGATTGCCCAGACAGATTGTGTCCAGACAGTTTTTGAATATTTCCATAAATGGAGGYTCTGCAACATCTCTGGGCAATCTATTCCTGTATTTGACCAGCCTCACACTGAAAAAGTGTCTCCTTGCATTCAGAGGTAATTTGATTGTATTTTAATTTGTGCCYACTGCCTCTTRTTCTATGTTAAGTGAATTACATTTTTCTTGTGTAAAAAACATGCTGCCTCTGTGGCAGAACAAGCGTGAAGAAAAAATCCTTGTGCAGTGGTCAGAAGCCACAAMACAGAAAACATGAGCCTCAAAATGTAATAAAAAAGTAATACAGCTCCTTCTTTGATAAGTGACTCATTCTTATTGACTGTGAGAAGACTAAGTCTCCCAAGGAAGATTCCTGCCCTGTAACCACACCAGAAAACCCAGGGTGAACAAGCACAGTCATTTCACTAGAGACAAGGAAAGTCTCTCTTTAGGTCTAAAGTGTCCTAAGGCATATATGACAACCCCACTCAGAAAGCTTACCTGGGCTCAAATATTCAATATGGATGAGTCTAAATCTTCCAGCTCTGGGATAAGAAAGACCGTTTGGAAAAGACCATTTTCATTTGGTGGATAAAAAGGAAGAAAGAGGAGGTCCACACATTGTTAACAAACAAGAGGTAAAGTGAAKGAGTTGTATGAAAGAGTGGCCCAATCCCCCTCACCCTGTTCTTGCATTTCTTCAAGTCCAGAAAACACCATGATTAAAGAACATCTGAATGCAAACAGACCCCAAAAGATTTTTACCTCCTCATTGACAKATAACTTTTGACTTCTTTTACCACATTAGTCTTCACTCTTTAGTCAGCATTATTTTCATGTCATGTCTCTCCACAGAAGTGATTTTTCTTCTCTACAGGCAGATAAGATACCTCAAAAGACTAGAATGACAGAGGAAGTAGAGAACTTGCTTTAGCACTTACACATCTGCCTTTGGCTCAGAAAATCATTTCATTGGTGCTACCATGCTATCATTCCATCCTACCATGCTCTGAGGTCCAGACCACCTATCCTGGACTCCCTCCAATGGCTGTGTCCCTAAGGCACTTTAATGGCTATATCCAACAAGTGGATTACCTCTTTTACAAGTGCCTTGCCAAAGCTGCCTTTGACTCCTCAGCCAGAAAGATCTAATACCCACTTACAGCTGGGTCATTTAGAGATGGATTTTGGCAAAAGAGTTGAATGATGACAGTAAGCCTTCCACTCTCCACAAGTTACTCCATCATCAGTATTGCACTTTCTTCACACACACAGTTTTCTAATTTAATTTCATGAAGACACTCCAAACATACAGGGTCAGAAGAGGGAAAAAAAGCAATATTAAAGCAGAAAATCCAAGCCATTGCCTCATAAGGCAATGCTGAAAGTAAGGCTGGTGATGCAGCTTGAATTCAGTTCCTTATGTTTGCATCCTGCTGTTGTTTTCAAACACAGTGTGCACTCTGTTCTTTCCCACAGGATGCACCTGCGCTAATAAGGAACCAAGGCTGTTTTAATTATGGCATTCCCCAGAATGTCTTGCCTAGCAGGCATCCAGATTTTGGACAAACAGCTATGCCTCATTTGCTAGGATTTGAAAGAGCAAGCAGAAGAACAAAGGAGTTCTTCATGGAGTGCCTCCTTCCTGAACCATGTTGYGCACCAGGAAGTTACAAACTTGTTCTCTGCCACTTGAATTAGGATGGCAGTTTACAGAAAAAGGATATCACCATCAACTCTGTGGCCAARCATAAGTGAAGATGGAGAGAGACATCATGCCTGCAGGTTTCACAAACATTCCAACTGCAGGCATTCAAACACTYAAGTGCAGATTGCAGATGGAGACACATACATTTATTTATCTCTATGCAGGCACTTATGTAAGCCTGTGCCTCATCTTCTGCACAGTCTACAGAAAATGAGGCATACGCTCTCTATGTCTCAATTCTTCGGACTCCCAGGGCTGAGTTGAGTGCAGGTGGAACACAGCTGTTTGAAAGAAGGTGTCCTTTCAAGTCATTTGGATACCTTAAGGTCATTGGAATCTTCTAAGGCATCAAAAGTGGATACAGTTCCAGATATTTGGGTTGTGAAATCCYTCCCCAAAATCTTCTGTGTGATGTAAGCCTAGACTCCCATCTCACACATTCAAGCTACATTTAGATAYCTTGAATGCAGGCCTTTATAATCTAGGGCTGACATTTTTACTGCCACCACAGAARCAGTAAAACTCGGGATTTTAGGCACCATTTGAGCCTTTAAAAATAACATTCTTGAGCAGGTATAGGCCCTCCTGCTTGCATCCTTCAGAGTCTGGGGCTTTCTGAGCCATTTCACCACAGAAAGCCCTGACTCATAYCTTTATCTTCTCCACCCCTGACTCCTTACCTCTCCCTCATTTTCGTTCCCTCTCTATTCCCAACCTCCATTCCTGACCTCACCCAGCTATTTGTTTCATTGAACAAGCCCCAACCTTTGACTTGCTCTCAAAGTCCCAAATTAATTTCCTCTCCATACCTGGACCCATTTTTTCTCTCAGTCAGCCAGTTTCAGTTTTCCCYATCCAATTCTTACACATCTCCCCCTCTTATCTGCTCTGGTTATTATTGCTACAAAAATAAAAACTAATCTAGTCTCAGTCCCACCCACCCACATGTCCACCTTGTTTTAGTCTCTGCAAATACAGAGAATCAGAATAAGAGAAGGAAACTTTCTGCAAGCTACAAGAAAAAAAAAAAAATCAAAACAAACAGAGAATTCACAAAGTCTGGTGATGACTTCAATTCACAGCTGTAAGTATTGGAAGTCTCAGGATGAGCTTTCCATGGACAGATGCCCTTGAATTTTTGGGATTTCAGCAAGCAGTCTGCACATCTCTTGTTGTGTGGAAATACAGGGTGTCAGCTATGATGGAAGGAAGATTTGGAACTGGTTAAGGTGAAATAATGAGTTAAAATAAGCCATTTTCCTTATGCCTCTTGAAAGCAATTTACAAGCTATGATGTAAGGGATATTTTCAGCAATTTGCTCATGTTCTCTGAGAAAAAGCATTGTCAGGCAATTTTTTTCTGCCTCTGCAAGCAAGGACTTGGGGAAGAAGCCTTCTCACCTGTCTGACCTTTTCTCAAAGCTGTTATCTGAAGGGCACTTATTTCTGGGAACTGTGGAAACTAAAGAGCTAATGAATTCTCCCCTGAGGAAGAACAACTTCTGGCCACTCAGCAATGATGCATGAGAGAACTGTTACTGCCGTGGTAACTTTCTGTGATCGCTGCCTCAACATAACCCAAGAAAGCCCTTCACTGAGCATAGACCACAAAACAGAATTGCTACTCCGTGTAAGATCTTTCTTCTCTATCTTCCTCCCATGATTGCTATCTGGGTACCCCTGGCATAAGATGCAACTCTGAGATTGCTGGTACAAGCCCATGGCAAAAATGTGATTGGATGGAATTACACCAACTTTGTTGACCACACTTTGTATTTCACATTTACCTCTTTATAACACAGACAGCTGGCTTTTCCTTGTGTGTGTGTCTGCATTTGGCTCTTCAGAGTTCCTTACACTGAATCTAGTTTGATGAAATAGGGTTTGAAATCTTCTTTGGACATTACACAGCTGGTGGACAAGACTGCATACCCTACATTGACAGGTAGTATTAGGGAAGGCAGAGCATCTTGTTGGTCATCCAGAACTCTGTTGCTTTTGGGACTGAGCCACACCATAGGATGTGACTGTGCTCCACAATTCTGACACTTGACATAAAGCCAAGAACTTCAGGGACTTTTGGTAATGGGGCTGTATTTCTTCAGCATTTTCCTTAGAACTATATCTCTAATTTATTGTTACACTAAATCCAAAATGGATAACTTGGGGATTCTCCTTGGTTTATGCATGCTTTAGTGTTAAAAAGCTAATACTGAAGTSAAAACTTAATAATAAAATTACTGTTTCATAGTTTAGTTACATATTGTAGGGAGTTCCACATAGATGGTTTTTACCATCATGTTCCTTCTTGTAATATTGCTATTAAATGTCTCCAATTAYACCAAGAAGAACTATCATAGTTGACAAAAAWCCCATTTGTGYTGTTTTTAGTYTGGGAAAAGGAGTTCTTATTTCTTCTACTGCTTGTTCTGATTTTGGTGCTGATACATCATAGGAGACTAGGTGAGTTGCTGCAGCACTATGCCAGCACTGCTTATTCCCAGGTTGACTCATTTCTCATTCATAAACTGCAAGTGACAATTTCAGCTTCCCATTGTACCCAGGCAGGTCTCTTAACCTGGAGAGCATTATTTTTACTAAGTAAGCCTACTTGGCTATCACAGGGATGAGCTCTGAACAAATTAGAACATGATGCTTCTCTGGTAGCATGAGTCAGACCATGGTTGGTGTGGCTATTATGCAYCTCCACGAGGACAAATTCTGACTACAGGAAAAGGAAACCCATCTTGGTTAGGCATTATGGTTACATTTTTCTCTGAATTTTGCTAGTAGTCAGTCCTTATCACATGTGCCATCAGAACAGAGTGAAAATTTCAGAGGAACTTCTGAAGGCTAAAAATTCAGAAAAGGGAGCAATTTTTAAATAAAAGGTCTGACAATGATAGGGAGGAAGATCCATGGGGAAAGGACAACCA